AAATAAAGCAGATGTCATAATCTCTCTGGAATAGTCAATTCTTATCTAAGGAACAGAAACAAAAAATAAGATTAGCATCTGTCATCTTCACTTACGAATGACAAATTTGCGTCCAGATGCCACCACAGTTTGCCAGCAAACATGTGATTATTCATTTAAATAATAATTTCAGAGAAAGAGTTTAAGGTCCAGGAAATTGGAAGCCAGCTGAAAAGCTTGTGTCCAGGTTACAGCCCCACAGCTTGTTTTCTTCCAAGTAACCTTCAGGTGTTTCAGGATTGTCTTCCACTAGGAAATTATGTCTGTAAGAACTGCCTAATTTCAGATTTAAGGTTCCAAAGAAGTATTTCCACTTACATTCTCTGGAAAATGACTTCATTTGGCAACTTTTTAGCAAAGAATTATGCTCCTGGGGCCACAAAGGTGTGAGAAGATTTAGAAGTCACCTGCCAGTTTAGAACCCAATGTTACTTGTGACATCTCATCACCTCCTGCAGGAGAAAAGAGAGGACAGCAGAAGGGGTGGAGATGACTAACAAGGGAGGTCACACTTGGTCTTTGGCAGTCCTTTGGACAGCATGAAGATTGCGTTTAAAGGGATGAACATTCCAATGTCTGAACTCGGAATTATGCAGGGAGAGTTCAGAGGGTTTCCCACAGCTGTCTCTATGGTGAACCTTCCCTGCTGGGGTTGCAACTTTGCTTCAGTCCAACACCCAACACCTGCTTGGATATGGCTGATCTCACAAAAAAGGAGGAGCATCCACAATGCCGTCATTCACCTGGAGGAGTTCTCTGTAAGTCAGGGAGGTCCTCTCACCCAAGCCCCTGTGTCCAGTCATGGTAAAGTGAAGGTCAGCCTGGCTTCCTGGGTCTCAGCTTCTGAACTTGTAAAATGATGGGTCCTGCTAGACTTGAACTGTCCCACACAGGAGCCACTAGCCCCACGCTGCTGTTGAGCACTTGAGATGTGGCTAACTCAACTAAAGAACTGTATTTTGACTTTAATGGTAATTAAGGTTTAGATGTGAGAACTAATATTTGATTCAATTATTGGAAAAGTTTTTAATATGTTTAGAATAATAGTGGTATATGAACCTACTTTGTCAATCAGAAATTTTATGAAATCTAGTTATAGCTCAAGTATTTCTGATGAAAATTTAGTGTCTGAATTGGGATATGCTGTAAAAGAGTAAAATATAAACTAGCTTTTGAAGACTTAGTATAGAAAATGTACAATATGTCTTTGCTTATTTTATACTGATTTACATGTTGAAATGATATTTTGAACACATTGTGTTAAATAAAATATGGTACTAAAATTAATAACGGCACATTATGTTTCTGTTGGACAGTGCTGGACTAGACTATTCCAACTCCCTTACAGCAACCACCTCTCTGTTTGCAGCTTCTGTGGTGAACTGTAATCAGCTGCCTTCCTACATCATGGGCAACATGTAGGACCTGTTAAGTGCCTTCTTTGTGCCAAGAACTATTAGGAATGAAGGCCAAGAATACACATCCTGCTCTCAAGGCGATCACATTCTAAGAGGTAGGCAGGTAAATAAAAACTAAATTTAGTGTGATAAGGGGGAATACAGACTATGCTTGCAGTATGAGGAGGGATGTCAACTGAATGAGAAATTATCAAGGAGCTGACCCTTGCACATACTCCTGAAGGAAGGCAAACAGGAGAGGAGGGCATTCCAGGTGGAGAACCCAGCATGTGCAAATGTACAGAGGCATGAGCCTGCACGGCACCTTGGAAAATCCAAGTCATTTGGTCTGTCTTGGATGTAAAAAACAAGACATGAGAGGGAAGTGGAGGGAGGGCAGTGGCCAAGATGAGGCCATTTGTAAGATATCATAGAGAGCGGAGCAAGTTCAGAGAACTCTTCAGAACTATCAATAGGTTGTAGAAGTTTCCTTCTCTTTCCTCCAGTTTGGCTTCCATCTGGAGGCTGGAAGCAAGTTAAGAAATGCTCATTTCCCCAGGGACCATACAGAACTTGGCATTTCTAGAGACGTCCGGCATCATCTTTGACACTCAACAACATTTCTTGGGTGCCTTTTATGGGCCAGTCCCTTACTCACTATAGGGAAGACGCAGAAGACTAGGTCCCTAACCTCAGGACCTCATGGTCAGTCCAGGGAGAGATTCATAACAGGAAAAGCAGAGGCAGGGAACCATAATTTTTTTTCCTTTCTTACTACTTGCAAATAAAATCATGAGTTTAGAAAAATTTGAGGAGTAAAGATATACTGCTCTAAATTAGTATTCCTCACTCTCAGCCTTTTTTCCCAGTGACTAATGGCCTAGGCAGAGAAGGAAGATCTAACCTTGTTGATAGAACAGTATTCTTGGAGACTTTATGACTAAATATTCCTTGTTTAAATCATCCTCTGGTGTGTTTCGCATAACAGATCACTATGGTCACAAATTAATATCCACTATGGAGAGAATGTTTATTACAGTGCACGTCAGAGAAAGGAGGCTTAAACTTGGGCAAATACAAAGGACCTTCCTCTTCATTTCAAAAGTAAACTTGGAACATGTAAGAAACTGAGTGCACTAGAACTCCATTAGAGGAAGAACAAATCAATGCTCTGAGATCACTAGTTTGAGCATCATTAAATTGCCGATAGTCAAATAATGACTTGAAAAATAATGAGCATGCCTTCCTACATTATGGGCAACAGTGAGTCAGAGTGGATGTCATATATACCACGGCTTCAGATATTATCCATCCAAGAGCCTCGTTGTGTCATAAAATTCAGTAGTTAGTTGTTTCCTGCCTCTGAAAGGCCGCAGTTGTCATGAAAGCATTGCCATGGCTCAAACCCCAAACTGGGTGTCAACCCACACGCGCTGCGTGGCAGAACCTCAGGGCCAACTGCCCACCACTGTGCTCCGCTCTCCTGCAAGCCAGCTCCACTCAGCAGGTGACAGGCGAGCACGGGCACCCTGACTGCTGGGCAGCCGCAGGTCAAGGCATTGCCTGTGGTGAGAGGACAGTTTGCTGAACCCAAATCTAAAGGTTTTCCTGTCTATACCCATCAGGGATTTCTTTGTTGTCAAAAGCTATGGTAGCTAGCTTTGGGTTCAAATCCGTATTGTGGAATTTGAACCATCTAAATGTCCATCGCCACAGAAAAGCTCAATTGAGTCTTGTGAACAAAACAGAAAAAACTTCTGCCAATAGCTGAGAAATAAATTTCTTCTTTCCTGCTGCTTAAACCACAGAACAATGAGAGCTCCCAAGCTCACTCTGCAGTAATAAACTGGAATGTACAGGCTTTTCCTTTTGATGTGTTCCAGTTTAAAAGTTTAGAGCTGATGCCTTTTCATCCTTAATTTATCTTCCTTTGTAAATATTTCTTTACCTCTTCCAATACCTTAAGTATACACATTAAAAAAATAATTCGCTCCTTCTCTTATTTCAGTTATATAACTTTATGTTATGGGTCAAATTTGGGACTAAATAAACATGCCTCTAGCTACAGCTCTGCAAATATCTCTGGCAGCAAATTAAGTCAAACAAATGTTTTGGTTGGGCGGTGAGGATGTTTTTTAACGATCTTCCTGTTCTTGTCTGGAGGCCCAAGGATAGACTAGGTGAACTATCACAGGCTTTTCTAATTTCGTATTTTCTTTTATTTTTTTCTTTCTAACTTTGTTATTTTCTGCCACGTTTAATACACAGGTCTCAAGTTTGTTGGATTGGTTGGTTTAAAATTTCACCACCAGAGGGTGCTACTTGTTCGCTTCTAAAATTCATTTTACTCAAGGTCTTGAAAAATGGAGGCCCCGCTGCTAAAGAAACCTCCGCACGACAGCATCAAGGAGGAAAGGTTTTCAGAAGGCCTGAAGGCAGTGCTGGACTTCAAGGAATCAGATTTCACTTTGTTTTTCATATTACGAATTTAGAACAAAAATTGAAAATCTCTGTAGCTTGCACAAATCAAACTGCACCGATTTATATATTTGCTGTAAACCACCCACTGCTAGTCATTTTTCTGTTTTCAAGGCTTTTGTTCAGTAATTACTACAGAACAGCAATGAACCCAGAATTCCAGTTGGTGAGAGGTCGCACCAAACAATAAAATAACATAAAGTACAAAGAGGATTTGCTTTGCTATACGATGTTAGTCTCTAATAATGGAACTTTCACTTACCCTGTTTTCAGTACATACATCTCCTGCTTCTACTTGTGCGTAATTTTGCTTTGGTGTAATGTTTGGCTTCTCAGGAGTATTTGATTTATCAGCTTCAACTTCTCTTATTAGCATATTTTTACGATTCATGAGATTTGCATGTGAATTTTTCACTTGATATTTTCTGGTATACCCAAAGGACGTATGGAGTTTAATTCCCATTTGTCTATGTGGAGCTTACATGGAAAATATTTTTAAATTGTGGTGAGACACTCTCAGGTGTTGTCATCTGAATTAGCAAAGCAAACCAGGAGTTGGCAAAGTTTTCCTGTAAAGGACCCGATTTTAGGCTTTGTGAGCCATTCTCTTTCACAACTACTCAAACCTAGCGCTGTAGCAAGAAAGTAACTGTAGATGTCAATGGTTGGATGTGGCCATATCCCAATAGTGCTTTATTTCTAGGAACAGGTGGTGGGCTGTAGTTTGCTGACTCATGCAAATTATGTACCTAATGTACACACTCTTCTTATTGATAAAATTCAGAAAAGTTTTTATTACAATACAGTCCTGTGATGATTTTCAGCCTCCTCACGCAGTTTTGATGTAGTATGACCTTACCAGGTTATCCACTTTAAAGTTCCTGGGTCCCTTGGAGGAATATCACTGTGTTCCCTCTCTATAGCTTTCAAAATCAGAGCTGCAGGAGATTTTGGCTTTCAGTGAACCATTATGTTTGTGTCTTATGTACGTCTCTTATGGCAAGATATGAAATCAACAAGAAGGATGTTACTCCCTGGCAATTTCTCCAGAGATAATATGGAAAGTAAATAAAAGACACAGTTTACCTTCGGATTGATGTGTAGCAAGAGGAGTCTGTGTCTCCTTTGAGTAGGACACTACTTCCCTCGGCAGGAAGTCCACTTGGGTAACCTTCGACACGCCCAGCTTGTGCAGTCGTCTTCTGCAAGCGACAAGGAATAAATGCTTAGAGAGGGAAGGCATTCCTTGCAGAAGAGCTATCAGTAATAAAACAAAGCACTCAAACAAACGAGCCACAAACACCCTCAGCTTCTCAGTACAAGCAGAACTGGCCCTGGGCTGGAAGTCAGGACACCTGGGTTCTTGGCCCACTTTGGCCCTCTTTTGCTGGGTGATGTCAGATAAGACTCTCATACAGACCCTCAGCTTTCCTATCTATAAAATAAAGTCTTGGTCCAGCTCAGATGAGACACACCTTCCATTCTGAGCATCCCTGATTCTACTGGGCTAAACTTTATTAAGGGAACTTTCATTTGCAATACAGGATTCTAGTCTCTCAGGCAAAAAGGGAAAAAGAAAAGTAAAGCTTCTCAAATCTGAAGAAAAGAGAAATGATTTCCTTAGTGGAGTAACACGTTCTCTGTGATGGCAGTGAGGGTATCATATTTCAAGGAGGAGTATATCACTTCTCATTTCTCCAGAAAAGGAAGGAACACAGATCAGCATGTGAATGTGTTTGAAAGACACACTGATACACAGCACAGAGGAGTGAAAGGGACATTGTGCTCGGAGCGACAAAGTCTCAGCATAGCATTCCAGAGCTAACTGTGACCACGTGAAAAATCATTTCTGAACCTTTAGTAGCACTTCAAGAGTTTTCAGATGTCTTTAATCCACTATGTCACCTGTCTTTATGACATCTCCATGAAGTGTGTGGGAACATGTTATCGTCTCCATTTTACAGATGAGGAAAGTGAGATTCAGTTTAAGAGACGTGGCCAAGTATATACGACTCGTAAATGGTAGAAACAGGGTTAAAATTGACCCAACTGCTGGTCCAGTGCTTTTTCCACCATGCCAGACTCCTACCTAAGGTTCCTACTGGTGACTTCTGAGTCGCCTCAAATATCCAACGTGCCGCCCGAGACACCAGGAACTATCCAGTCGCAGAGGCAGTATTGTCTGCTGGTTAAATGCGTGGACTCTAGCCCCATTTACCAGCTGTCCTGTGTTATCTTGAACAAGTTACTAAGCTCTCTGTGCCTCAGCCTCCTCGTTGGTAAAATGGAGATAACAGTACTTTCTAATATGATTATTATGGGTAATGTGTATGTACCACATACATATAACGCACATATCACATGTATATATTAAGTATTCAGATGTACATAATTTACAAACATATATATGAACAGTTTCTAGAAATTTATTTTTAGTATGTAGTTTTAGTATTAGTATTATACATATTCCACTATGCTTCTAAATAATTTCCAGGCATAGAGTATGTGTGTGTCTCTGTCGGAGAAAAAGAAGAAAAGGAGTAATACCCATTTAGCCAAAATCTGACATTTCCTAGCTCCCTAAGATCAATAAAAGCAAACTCTATACATAGTATTGTACTTAATAATACTTATTATTATTTTAATATTATATTATTAATATAATATTAAGTAAAAATATTATTATAATACAATAATATTATTTATATTATAATATAATAATGCAATGTATTATTATATTATAATATTATTTATATTATAATATAATAATGCAATGTATTATTATATTATAATATTATTTATATTATAATATAATAATACATTGCATTATTGTCTCATTTCTTTTCCTTTAAATTATTATGAAAATGAGAGAGAATGCATATCATAGTTAGGAATTTTCACGCACAATCTCCCCAAAATTCTAGGAAAACAAAAATTCTATCTTTCTATTATTATATATTGTGGTGAGATCTAAGTCGTGCACAAAGTAGATACGAGCAAACAAACGCACGCCGGTTTAAAGGACGAGCCCAGCTGGCTGTCGCTACAGTCCAAACAAGCACAACTGAAGCATGCACTCAGGCAGGCCCGGCCTGCTGGGCCGATTTCACCGGGAGCTCTCCACCACCACAAGACAGCACAGGAGGCCAGGCTGGGTCCCGGCACTGTCACACGGCCTCCTCACACAGAAACAGAGGGAAGCACACAAAAAGTACCAGAAACTAAATTACCAAATGTGGTAAAAGGCTCAAAGTTTCAAAGTAAGAAATTCAATGTATTATTTTAAAACCTCCTTGGCTCAGAAAATAATGTTTTCCTTCCTGAAATGGGTCTTTCCTGAAGCATCTGAAGAAGAAAACATGAAGAGACACCCCAGGACCGCTTGAGGCAAAGCCCTTCTTGCTATTAATTAGCCTGGAGCATTTTCTTAAGGTCCCAATAGGCCAGTCTTTATTACAAGCAAGGAGACGGAAAAGAAACCACTTCACGTTGGGGCCACCCCTGGCACAGAGAGATCACCCTGGACGCTACACTTCCATGAGCACCTGTGTGAGGCCCCGGGATCCCCAGGCTCTGGTCAAGTGGTAGCTACACCTACAGGTAGCGACTCCAGGGCATTTTGCTAACATGACATAAGCTGCAGACATATCCTATTTGATGACCAGCAACAGGCGCCGGGCAATAGGAGGCTGATCTGTAATGTGACAATCCACCCTGGCGAACGGAAACCGACCTGTGAGTCAGCATAGCACGATGGTTAAGTCGTGCACTCGTACAGAAACTGGGTTCAAATCCCTGCTTTGTCGTGCACCAGCTGAATGGTAGACGAAACCTTTGTACGAGAGACAAACCCCTCTGAGCCTCATGTTTCTTATCCTAAAATGGGTACTTATCATTGAGCATAAAGAGTACATGACACTAATACTTGTAAAGCACTTAGTTTAGTGCCTGGCACACAGCAAGTGGCTCTTGGATCAAGCAGCTCTACTTTTAATTTACTTTTTTTTGAGGATTATAAGAATGCTTATACTTGTAAAAAAAAAAAAAAATCAGAGGAAGCATATTTGTGAATGTTCTAAATTAAAGATCCTTTCAGATAGTAGAGTTGATCTCTGCCAGTAAGAATCACACTTCTAATTTCTCTGGGCACAGGTGTAGGCTTTGACTGCTTGGGAGAGTCTATTTGCTTTTCCTTTAAAGTAAAAGTATTATCTATTACTGTGAAACTTCTCAGTTTTCAAAACTTAGCTTGAAGAAGTGTGTTTATCCTACTAAAACAAAAAAATGTTTTCTTTTCTCAACAATTATTGAAAAGTTTCAACCAGTTTTTCACTGATGCTGTGTTTGTGAGTTCAGGGTCCCAGTTAGACCCAAGCCGTCAAAAAGAAACAAAAGCTGAGTCGTCGTCATGAGATTCTCCCAATGTACCGATCGGTTGACACACTGATAGACTTGTGGTTCTCCTGGCTTGAGGGTGAATCTGTTTCAAATAGTTTAGAATATTAAACCAACTACTTAAAACACATCTTAGAGGGTACTGGTAGATTACTGCATCTTTCCATACAGCCTCAAGATTGATTAGGCCACATTTATACCAAATGCTTTTATTCTTTGTGCCCATTTTGCTGTTGTTTTGATAACCATGTAATTACAATATGCTGAACACTTTTCATACAGTATCTTATTTTATCTTATTAAAATTTTATATTGTATTCCAATTTTACAGATGAGAAAACTAAGGCTCAGTGATGTTGAGAAATTTGGCAAAAATCACAAAGGTAGTTAGTGGAAGAGCTGGATCTTGGCTCTATGGAACAGTAAGTCCAGGGGCCATGTGCTTTAAAACTGTGCTGCATTGACCTTTACCTCCATGCCTAATGACCATCAGAGGCACACTTCTTACAGCCTAACATCGAAGTCTGAACATATGCATTCATTTTATAAACATGAGAAAGGATTCTTGAGAAGTGGCCTGGTTCAAATTATCAGGACATCATGCTTCTGAGGTAAGCACCGCGCCATCGCTCCAGCCCCAGCTGTTCCAGAAAGGATGGCCAGGAGGTGGTGCCCTCCTGGCAAAGACCTTCCTCAGGTGTGTTCTCCGAGTCCTCACTACAAGTTAAACTATTAATATTAATACTTAGCAACGAAGGAAGAGAAAGACAGAACAAAACACTGTAGCATGAATACTACTATAGCTCCCATTCCTTCTAGATAGGCTACAAAGTCCCTGCTGCTCTTCAGTTCTGAGTCCGCAATACCGTTCCTGCCATCGCACCTCCCCTCCTGCACAGCTCATGTCCTGCTCCCTGTACACAGATACTTCTACCGTAGCCCTTGCTACGTGCCACTGTACAGTCACGAGTGCTTAACAACCGGGATATGTTCTGAGAAATGCGTTATTAGGTCATTTCGATGTGCAAACATCATGGAGTATGCTTATATAAACCTACATGCTATAGCCTACTAGCCTAGATGGCATAGCCTATTGCTCCTAGGCTACAAACCTGCACAGCATGTTACTGTTCTGAGTACTGTAGGCAACTTTAACAGAGTGTTAAGTATTTTTGTATCTAAATACATCTAAACATAGAAAAGGTATAGTAAGTATACAGTATTATAATCTTATGAGATCACTGCCATATATGTGGTCCATTGTTGATCAAAACGCTGCTATGTGGTGCATGACTATATTCACATCTTTTTATGTCTGTCTCCCCTGAATTGACTGCAAACTTACTTATTTATCCCTTGATAATTTATCTCTGCAGCCTAGGGCTTACTTTAGGGTAAGGTACAGAAAAGGAACTAAATAAACACTTGAGGAAGGAAGGGAGGGAGGGAAGAAGAAAACAGAAGGAAGAAAAGGCAGAAGTGATGTAAAAAAATAAATTGAGATATAAATGATCTATGTCCTGGCTGACATGGCATTATCATTAAAACATACTGCATATTTTCATCTCGGTAATTTATTCCAAATTAAGAGGGTTTAATGAAATTTTAAAATTACTGAACCGTAGTGCTTTAAATAGTTTTGAGAAAACAAGCAATTCAATGTCACTTAAGCAGTACAATACAGCCTCATATATTTGGATTAATTGTGACTATGTTTAACAAATGCAGAGAAAACCCAAACTGGAGAAATCCTAGAGCAGGGGTTTCCAAAGTGTGGTACCTGACCAGCAGCATGACCACCACTAGG